TTGTGTTCATCCATATACGGAGCCACCAAGGTGGAATTCTGTAGAACTGTGTAGTGTGCTTCAGTGAGAGAATGTCCGTCCATACATATTATTTGTTCCCCTCCTAGCGTGCCTTTTCCATCCAGTCTGCCCTTATGCCGCGATTCAGGAACACCAATCGGCTTAAGGTCAGGAATAAAGTCAATACAAAACTCAATGACCTCCTCATTTTGATGGCCCTTGGAGATGCTTCCTTCTGGCCTAGCACGGTTATGAACATATTTCTTTAAGACTCCCATGAACCTCTCAAAGGGAACATATTGTGTAGAAATACAGGACCCAAAACGTTAATCTCTTCGCATAGGTGAACTAGGACATGCGTCATGATATTGAAGAAGGATGGTGGGAACACCAACTCGAAACTGACAAGACATTGCACCAAATCATTCTGTAACCCTGGTATGATTTCTAGATCAATTACCTTCTGAGAGATTGCATTGAGAAATGCACATAGTTTCACAATGGCTAATCGAACGTTTTCCGGTAGAAGCCCCCTAAATGCAACCGAAAGCAGTTGCATCATAATCACGTGGCAGTCATGAGACTTTAGGTTCTAGAACTTTTTCTCTGCCATGTTTATTATTCCCTTTATATTCGACGAGAAGACAGACGGTACCTTAATACTGAGCAGGCATTCAAAGAAGATTTCCTTCTCTTCTTTGGTAAGAGCGTAGCTTGCATGACCCTGATGTATGCCGTCTTCTCCGTGCATATGTTGCTGGTCCTCCCGTGCCTCAGGTGTATCTTTTGTCTTCCCATACACGCCCAAGAAGCCAAGCAGGGTCACGCAAAGATTCTTCGTCACGTGCATCACGTCGATTGCGGAGCGGACCTCTAGGTCTTTCCAATATGGTAGGTCCCAAAATATAGATTTCTTCTTCCACATGGGTGTGCGTCCGTCAGCATCCTTCGGAACAGGTTGTCCGCCAGGACCCTTTCCAAATATCACCTTCAAATCCTTGACCATATCATGTACATCAGCACCAGTACGGTGGCGAGGCTTCGTCCGGTGATCCGCCTCACCTTTGAAATGCTTGCCTTTCTTTCTTACGGGATGCCTTCTTGAAAGAAATCGACGATGTCCCAGGTACACATTCTTCTTACAACTATTCAAATATATACTGTCGGTATCATCCAAACAGTGCGTGCATCCGCGGTATCCCTTGTTTGTCTGTCCTGAAAGGTTACTGAGAGCAGGCCAATCATTGATGGTCACGAACAGCAATGCCTTTAGGTCAAATTCTTCCCCCATGTGCTCATCCCACGCACGTACACCTGTTCCATTCCATAGTTGTAAGAGTTTTTCAACTAATGGCCTTAGGTACACATCAATGTCGTTGCCGGGTTGCTTAGGGCCCTAGATGAGCACTGGCATCATAATGAACTTCCGCTTCATGCACGACCAAGGAGGAAGGTTATACAAACATAGAGTCACAGGCCAGGTGCTATGGTTGCTGCTCTGCTCCCCAAAAGGATTAATGCCATCTGCTCTTAGACCAAACCATACGCTCCTTGCGTCATCTGCAAACTCCTTCCCGTACTTTCTTTCGATTTTTCTCCACTGCAACCCATCAGCAGGTACTCTCAACTTTCCGTCTTTCTTACGGTCTTCTCTGTGCCATCGCATCGCCTTGGCATGCTCTTTGTTTTGGAACAAACGTTTCAATCGTGGTATTATAGGAGAATACCACATCACCTTGGCAGGAATCTTCTTCCTGGGGCGCTCGCCCTCGACATCAGGCTCATCGCGGCTGATCTTATAGCGCAATGCACCACATACCGGGCAAGCGTTCAAATCCTCGTACTCACCGCGGTAGAGGATGCAATCATTAGGGAATGCATGTATCTTTTGCACCTCTAACCCTAGAGGGCAGACAGCCTTCTTTGCTTCGTACGTACTCTCGAGCAATTCGTTGTCCTTTGGAAGCATATCCTTTATCATTGCCAGCAACTTTCCAAATCCCTTGTCAGATACACCATTCTCTGCCTTCCATTGCAGCAATTCCAGTGTGGTGCCCAGCTTTTTCTTGTCACCTACGCAATTCGGGTACAACAATTTTTTGTGATCCTCTAACATGCGCTGCAACTTCTTCTTCTCCAAATCACTTGCGCAGTTTCTCTTTGCATCGGCAATGGCCCGACCTAGATCATCAATGGGCTCATCTGATGCCTCTTCTTCAGCTTCTTCCCGCATTGCCGGCTCAGCTTCTTCCCGCATTACCGGCTCAGCTTCTTCCCCATTGTTGTATCATCGTATTCAGGGAACCCATGGCCAGGATAGCTGTCGTCGTCCTCTTCTTCTTTATTGTCTTCCATCATAACCCCTCTTTCTCCGTGCTTGGTCCAAACATTATAGTGGGGGCATGAAACCGGACTCAAACAGGTGGACGTGAATGGTTCTTGACGTAGAGTAATTGCGACCATTCTTACAGCCAGCACATGGACAAGGCATAAAACCATCCGCCCGCTTCTTTGCCTCAGCCGCAAGCAGAAAAGTATGCACGCCCTCAACGAACTGGGGAGAGCATCGGTCATCGTACATCCATTGCCGGCTCATCTTCATTACGCAACACCGAATAGACCAAATTAATACAAGTTCATACATAAAGTTCATACAACACATAAATGCAACAAACAAATAACTCTCTAGCTAAAGCATTTAAATGCAACAACAAATGCGATCAAGATCGCAACTAAGGTAACAATTGATCCAACAGCATAATGATACCAAGCCTCACTATCGATGGCATATTTTCTAATCTTTCTAATCTTCAAGTGCATTTTCTCCATCTTGATCTTGTGATCATCGACGACATCGGCAACATGCAACTCCAATTCCATCTTCTCCCCCTCAATTCTTTTCAATTTTTCTTTCAAGTACTCGTTTTCTCTTTCAACTAAATTTAACCTCTCGACAATAGGGTCGGTTGGAATTTCCGGTTCACATACCTCCTAGATAAAAATATCTATGTCAACTTGATGGGCATAATTTGTCATAAACACGAAATGCAATAAATAGTTTTAAAAGAAAATATACCACATCCGAATCATAACAAGGACGAGGGCCGACGGGGACGGATATCAAAACCATGGCACTATGTATAACAAACAACATACGGGTAAGATAATTATTATACGAGTAACTATATATCCAAATCACACAAACATCAATTTTTTATATAAAATTTCACGAACAAGAGGCTCACCACAAGGTGGTGCCGGCGACGGGACGGTGCGGGCGATCGACGGTGGTTACGACGGAGATTTAGAAGGCACTAAGTAAACCACACCTACATATGCAAACTAAGTGTTATTTTTGACCTCAAATTGCATATAAATCAAATACTAGCACATATATATATATTTCCTCCCAAATTACTAAACTGACAAATTAATAACTATATAAAGCATTGCAAGAGCTAATCTAGCAATGAGAGATGAAAGGACAAAGTTGCTAACCTTTGTGATCATTTGAATGGATGGGGGCCTTCAAATCTTGACAAATTTTGGGCAAAATGTGTGATGAGCTCGAGAGGAAGAGGGGAAGAACAGAGAGGAGAGGGGAAAGGGGAAGAACAGAGCGAGCTCGGGTGGACGAAGGGTTTATGTAGGACGACCTTTAGTACCGGTTCGTGCCAAGAACCGGTACTAAAGGTGCTGGCGGGGGCCCAGACTGACAACATCCTACCACCACTCTCATTAGTACCGGTTCGTGGCACGAACCGGTGCTAAAGGTTAACCACGAACCGGTACTAGTGAGAGCGGCCCGGCTAGCCGTTGGAACCGGCACTAATGTATACATTTGTGCCGGCTCTAATACAAACCGGCACTAATGTACTTCACGTTTGACCCTTTTTCTACTAGTGAAGCATACCATAATGTAAGTCAAGAACACTGCTTAGTTTTGTGAGGAAGTAAATCATGAGAAGCACACTCTATATTCAGCAACAATGAGTTTTTACTCTTCTATGTTACTCTGTATGCATTTTTTTTGCTTATCCCTATAATGGTTTTTTATCATTTTCTATTATGTCATACCCACACATAACTTTTGCTGCAAGCGTGTCATCTATCTAGCTCATTATCTGTTCTAACACATGTAGAACTGCCATGATTATTTGTAGATCACTGCCAGTTAACTCCATCTCGCTGTCAAGTGACTTGGTTTCAAATGGATCTTGATACAGTTACATCTAATAACCTTTATCAAAATTTCAAAGAAGCAGAACAAGAACCGACTGAACAACCTTGCTTCAAAAATCATACAAGAGAAAAAAGGAAACAAAATTGAAGCAGACATAAGAACAAACACCTAATGAGCGTGAACGAACTGACAGAGGCACAAATCGAAATCTCGAAAAAGCAAAACAAGAACCGACCGAATAACCTTGCTTCAAATCTCATACAAGAGAAGAAAGAAAAGAAAATTGAAGTAGACATAAGAACAAACACCTAGAAGACAAATGCAGCACCGAATCATTTTTTTTCTTCGGAACCAGACACGAGAGGATGATAATCTGCCAAAGATCTCTAACCGCAACAGAATCCCAGGAACTACGCATACCCTTTAAAAGAAACCTAACTGGCATGCCATTGCCAGCTGCCGCATCCAACGAGGCTGGGCCAGGAAATCGGTCGAACAGGTCGCATACATACACAAATTTGAAATCCGACTCTGATAATTAAGATCTATGATTCGATGTATTCCTTTGGCTGATGATCTATTGCTGGTGCAGTCCCTCTCAACCAGCGTCGGGGACGGAGCAAAATGGCCGGTAAACAAGCTCAAGGGTAAGATGCAGATGCCGCTGGCAGAGCTGCTCCAGGAGCACGACCTACCGACGGGGCTATTCCTGCGGGAGGCCACCAACTACGAGTTTGAGCCGGAGAACGGGGCATTCCCGTTCCACAAACTGGCGGCTAGGGGGCCGCTGCTGCAGAGGCCGAGCTCGACGGCGAAGATGACGTTGTCGAGGCTGGGACGGGCAGGCGAGGGCGGAGGGAGGAAGGGGACATGGGGAAGGCGGCGCACCTTTAGCACCGGTCGTGCCCGATCTCCGCCGTCTTGCCGTAGTTGCAGACATATTGGTTGCCGATCCAGCGCCTCTGACCACTTCATCGCCCCGTCAACACCAGGCCGGTCCTTCGATGGGCATGAAGACAGATCAGGAGTGGAGAGTAAGAAGGATTAAGAAACTGGTCGGTTACTCACCGGCGGCGCCCCTGGGCTCCAGATCCGGCAAAGAATCAGTTGGGCCCCAATCCTGCTAGCCCCCTTGACTCTCAGCCCGCTGCAGCCGCAAGGCCCCCCACGTGGAAGAGGCGGAGGAGAGAAACGAGGAGAGGAGAGATTGCGTGTGGGGTAGTGCAAAGGGCTCCTTTGTCTTTCTTCAGGACCAATAGGCAGAGAAGGAATTACGTTTTGTCTCCTAGCCAGTCCGACGTGGACACGCCCGGGGAGCGCCCCTGATGCACATGTTAATGGTTTTAATATCTATATCACTGCAATATACTCCCTCCGTTCCTAAATGTAAGTCTTTGTAGAGATTTCACTAGGTGGACTACATACAAAACAAAATGAATGAATTCACATTTAAAATGCATCTATATACATCTGTATGTAGTTTATAGTGGAATCTCTGCAAAGACTTATATTTAGGAACGGAGGGAGTACATCTCAATCGCATACCACTCCCCTTGCCCGGATTAAAAGGGTCGGTTGACCATGATGCATCATCTGTTTTTTTACAAAGATTGTCAGCCTGGGTCTGAGTTTTTGCATGCGGGCCTTAATACTATTATTTAATTAGCTATATGTAAGGAAGGGGGCACTGCATGTAGGAGATGGGCCTCATGCATACTTGAGTCCATCTTTCTTTATTGATTCCATGTAGCATAGTGGGTGCACTAATGGTAGCTAGCCATCAATTCTGCCACAAGTCTCACCATACCTTGGTCTCGGAGAAGTGGCCCTCCGGCCTTTTAATTCCCGAAATTATTATACATAGGATGAAAACTCATTCAATACTTGTACAAAGGTACAATGGACCGTGAAGTGCTACAGCAAGTTGCAATCATAGGGATCGGACACCTTCTATCGTACATCAAGCGACGCTCTGTAATCCCAGTCAGAGGGAGTACATGTTAAATAGATAATAATGTGAAACACTAACTACCAAAACATATATTTATTCGGGGGTTCGACGGTGTTCCAAGCTTACTAATGACTATGTACACGTTTGATGCTCTTCGAAATTCACAACTCAGAGTGTTCATTAACATTTTTGTCAAGTGACAGTGGGTGGTAGTTAATGTCAGGTATTCTTATGCAAAGTTAGAAGGGTCTCTACAGATGCTAAACTTTTTTGGTTCTATCCATTTTTGAATTTCTAACATTTATTATGTTTTAGTATCATCCTGATCCTTGGGGTTCAACAAAGGAATTGGGTAGTTTTTAGTATATTATTGTAATAAGATTTCACAATACAACCGTATAGTCCTTGTCTTGTATTCTGCATTGTTTTTGAATTATTATTTCACATTTGTATTTGTTGGTTTCTAGATGTAGCATTGCTATTTTTACAGATATTTATTATTTATATTCATTTGTAGCTTAACATGATAACCTGATTCTCCATAGTGAACATTATGGTGTGCATGAACATGAATAAAATTTAACAACGTAAGGTGCTAATTTTAAATATTTTTAATGGTGAATGTGCATCAAGTTAATTATGTACTATGGAGTCGTGTCGAGCTCGGGTGGGGAGGTGATCCATCATTTTTCCTTTGGTGGCTGCTGTGGTGGTGTCGGTAGCAGAGGACGGGCGTTGGTGTGAAGCTCTGGGGATTCTTCGGTCTTGATTGTATTCTCTTTCTTGGCTGGTGTTCCTTTGTGCAAAGGCTAGCTTTCTGTTGTCTTTTCAGTTTTGTTAGGTCGATATCTACATGGTATGTATTATGATTTTTATGATTTTTCAATGAAACACATATTACCACGCAAAAAAAGAGTATAAATAACTCAATCGGTACAAATTATAAATTGTCATGTGTGAGAAAGCTGTATATACATACCCCATAAAAGAAGGCGACAGATGCACGGTAACAGGGAGAGTTGTTGACGATTCCGCGTGATTTCTACATCCCGAGCACTCTCAAGCAAGCACCAAACATAACATGTCCCGTAATTTTTTGCAGCAAGTAGTCCTTAATACAACATTGTATCTTTATAATGCAAATTTCATTTTGTGTAAATTTAACATGGACGGCTGTACTGAGCACTTTCGTCAACATGTAAATCAATATACTACAAATTTCCTTTTGTGTAAATTTAACATTAATAGAACTGAAATCTATTTTAAATCATGTGGTTGATGTGTTCACTTTTATAAAATCATGCATACTTGGTTTATTCCATTACGTTCTAGTCAATTTGTAAGTAACATTGTGCAAACCGCCCACACATGACTCGGTTTAAAATCATACACAGCTCGTTTAGATTTTTTTTTTAAAATCTTTACGCAATGTACAATAAAATAGTGACTTAATTTAAAAAAAATGTTGTACCATTAAAAAAATTGTTCATTGCCTTCTAAAAAATGTTTGCATGCTTTAAAAAAGTTGATAACATTATGAAAAGTGTTGAAAATGTTCGTACATTTTACAAATGTTCAACTTCTATTTGGAAAATGGTAGACATGTATCTAAAATATGTTCAATGTGCATTTGACAATTTTTCAACATGTACTTGAAAATATTCAACGTGTATTCCAAACATAGTCATCGTGCATAGGAAAAATGTCCAACTTGTTCAAGAAAGGAGGACGGCATGCATTTGAAAAATTGAAGAAAAACAAGGAAGAAAATGAACAAAAATGGCTAACCCCAACTGAGTCCGCAAACTGACCCAAATGTCCGAGTAGTCCGGACTGCCCCGAACCCAGCCCAAATGTGGGGTGGATATGGGATTGGCCGGAGAAAGTTCGCCATGTCGTCTTGTACTGTTCTGGCCGACTCCAGAAAATCCCCCACCCCCGGCCCTCCCATTTCGAAAAAAATATGATCCTAGCTACTCCACTCTCACCTCTCCTTTCACACTCCTCCCCGTCCCCGATGTGCCCCCTTCGTCCATCCCTGCAACCATGTCTGGATCCGACTCAGAGGACGACGACATCGATGGAGAGCTCCTCGCCGCGAGGATGATGATGAGCTCACCCAGCGAATTGCCCTCGGACTATCGTAGGCTGAGATGCGCAGGCCGTCACCGTCCGCTCCGCCTTGGCACAAGTCTAGCAGTCGAGCACCATCCCACCATGCCGCGGGACGGGGTCGAGCCGCATGTCCGATGTCCCCACACTAGTGGAGCAGTGATGGCTGTAGGAGCTACTCCACCAACCCGGAGTCGTCCGTGCGGGTGGCCCTGTGTGAACACGTATCCAGCTCTGGCGTAGAGGCCTATTCCACTTTGGTTCTCGTACCGATGGTCTGCGGCATCAAGCAATGATCTTTGACCATGAAGGAGTCAGATGCTTGATCTAGTTGTCGTCGGAGTAACATCAATCTTCTCAAGGAGGGTATCAAAGCCGAGAAGAAGGTCGAGGAGCAAGCCTAAGCCCAAGCCTTGGAACAATCCCAAGTTGCCCATGTCGCCGCTGGCATGTCGGACTTTGATGGCTCCATGGTCGGCTCCTCCTCCGACTCCAAAGGTCCTGGTGATGACCCCTACGCCGTCTCTGAGCTCTACTACGGCCATAGATATGCTAAGGGGAAGGGAAAACGCCTATGAAGATCCTTCCACTTTATTATGTTGAATGTGCTATGTCCCATGTATGAACAACGTGTTATGTTCTATGTATGAACTATGTTGGATGTGTTGTGTCCTATCAAGAGTAGAAAAGAGGGCAATGGTCCAGACCGGGCCAGCCCATTAGTCCCGGTTCAGTCCAGAACCGGGACCCATGGGGGCATTGGACCCGGTTCGTGAGCCCCGGGGGCCGGTCGGGCCATGTGGGCCATTGGTCCCGGTTCGTCTGGACCTTTTGGTCCCGGTTGGTGGGACAAACCGGGACCAATGGGCCTCGCTCCTGGCCCACCATCATTGGTCCCGGTTGGTGGCTTGAACCGGGACCAAAGGCTGCCCTTCAGTCCCGGTTCATGCCACGAACCGGGACTAAAGGGTTGGTCCTTGTTGCGGTCAGAGTTTAGTCCTACCTCGCCAACCGAAGGGCGCTCACACCGGTTTATAAGCCCCTCCCTCTCTGCCTTGTTGAGCTCCTCTCAAAGTGAAAATAGATGCCCTTATATAGGGAATTTGACCTAAATTCATACTAAATTTCTCTGAAGTTCATAGAAATTTATTATGAATTTATGTTGAATTCTCTCTATAGGCGCATCTATGCTCATTTTTTTTAGTAAAGTTAATCACAAACTTGTGATTCACACAAATTTCAAAGTATTCAAATTTTAACTATTCATGCCACCAACCAGTTCATGCCACCAACCGGGACCAATGATATGCCTACATATACCATGCCAAAATGAAAGAGAGGCGCAATGCTCACCTGCACGTTGCTTAGCTTCAGGCCAACATGCAGGTGAGCACTGCGCTTCTCCCTTCACCATCTCTACACTCAGGGCTTATAAAACCGCTGCGAGTGCCTCTCGCTTGGCGAGGTGGGACTAAAAAACAGCTGCAGAAAGAATCAACTAAAAAACTCTTTTACCGGTTCATGCCACAAACCGGTACTAAAAGGTGCTCGTGGGGCACCAGCCTTAAAACCTGTACCAAATAAAATGCCTTTGTAATAGCCTTAGAACTGGTACTGAAGGAATCAACTAAAAAGCTTTTACAAACCTCTAGTATTATTGAAACTAAAATTATATAGAATTTTGTTACAAAATTTAATAGCAAAAAGAATTATCATAAAAGAAAATAAACAAGTAATTAGAACACTATTCAAAACATTAAAAGAAAAAAAGAATTATCATAAAAGAAAATAAATAAGTAATTAGAACTCTGTTCAAAACAATAAAAGCAAAAAGCATTATCATAAAAGAAAATAAATAAGTAATTAGAATTTTGTTACAAACTTTAATAGCAAAAAGAATTATCATAAAAGAAAATAAATAAGTAATTAGAATTTTGTTACAAACTTTAATAGCAAAAAGAATTATCATAAAACAAAATAAATAA